TTAGCGCAGTTCATACTATCAATCTGTGTGTGTCTGATTGTGTATCTGGATGTGTTAATGTGTGTCTGTGTGTCTGGATGTGTTAATATTTGTATGTGCGTCTCTGTGTGTCTTGATGTGTGCGTGTGTGTGTGTGTGTGTGTGTGTGTGTGTGTGTGTGTGTGTGTGTGTGGATGTGTTAATGTGTGTATTTGTGTGTTTGGATGTGTTAATGTGTGTATGTGTGTCCGTATGTGTCTCTGGATATGTGCGTGTGTATTTGTGTGTTTGGATGTGTTAATGTGTGTATGTGTGTCCCTATGTGTCTCTGTGTGTCTGGACGTGTCTCCGTGTGTCGCTGGACTTGTGTGTGTCTGTTGGACTCTGTGTCTGGATGTGATGATATTTGTGTGTCTGGATGTGTCTCAATGTGTCGGGATGTGTTACGTTTGGGTGTCTTGATTATTATGTACAGATTAAAATAGACAACATGCAGCAAAGAGGGTTTGGGTGATCCTGGCACAGTCAGGCTGATAAGGCTCATCATCAGCTCAGTGAACTAGCCCCCTCTACACGCAGCCCAGACAGCGAATGGGACTTCTCCCAGGAAGCCCTGCCTAGTCGAACACACCCAGAAAGTTCAGGAGAATGTGAAGACTCCCCAACACTGCAGCTTTCTGCATTACCAAGATTGTCATAAGGGCTGTATTCCTGGTAGCAAACCCGGGTACTCTCCCAATGTCAGTCAACAGATTGGAAGGTAAAACACCTAAGGCATCAAGAACAATGGTGAGTCGGACAACTTGGAACTTGGGATGCAATCGTGACATTTCGAAAGCGAGGTCCGCATATTTGCCATTTGTTTCCTGAATCTTGTCAATCAAATAAGTGTCAAAAGGGGAAAAATTCAATGATTTAAATGATTTCTTTGGATTTATGAAAAAGGACAAGATCGGGTGTGTTGGCCTGGATAGTTCTGAGGCTGTATACGGGCCTATTCCAAGGAATTGTGTATTGATTTTCCCTGACGATCTCATAATCTGGGTTGTACCATGGACGTCAGAACAGCATGGCAAAGACAGTAATAAAAGGATCGAGCCACTCTATCATGTCGCTTAAAATACTGCTGTGTTTGTGCAAAGCTAGGCATCCACTCACAAAGTGTTGGACAGTCTTATTAAATTCATTGCATAATCTACTTTTCATATAAGTATTTTGAATCAAAATCCCACATTGACGGTTTCGAGCAGCAAACAGAAAGCCCTCTGTTTCTCTTTTCGGGCCAGCCGACTTCATCCAAGCGAACGTCTCTGAAGGGTTGCTGAACTTCTCAACACACTGCACATAAACTCGATGCAGTGCTCGTTCAGATAGCCTCTGGGCCGATTTTATGTGGCACTCGCTTGGTTGAAACTCATTTCTGTACCGTCGAGCAGTACTGAACCATCAAAAAAATCAACACTGACATTGAGATAATGTCCCACATCCTTAGCTCGTTTAAGAAAACTGTGGAATGCCTTGTTTTCATCCTGAGTCTTGACATGCTTCACAAGAGGATCCTCAGACAAATACATGTGTGCAAAGTGCACAATGCAATTCTATCATGAGGAACCTCCACGTTAATCAAACCAAGCCCTCCCATTATGATTGGTAAATAAAAGCGATTGAGGGAAGAGCGAGGGTGATGGGATCTCTTGTCTGACATGATTCTTCGTGTGACGGTGTCAATACCCTGAATTTCTTGTTTCGTCCAATCCATAACACCAACGGAATTTGAAAGGACAGGTACAACATACGTATTCGTGACTTTAACTTTATTACCAGCGTTCAGCTCTGAACTGATTTTCTTGAGTCTACACTTGTACTCTCCTCGTGTGTTTCCTCGATATGGGCATTCAGTTTGTCCCTAACCCGCATCCCTAGGTACGTCTAGGCCTGACCTTCCACGAGATGGTCAATAACTCCTCCCCCAAGTAACCTGACTGATCCCCCCTCTTCTACCTTGAACTAAACTTATAGAAGAACCCCGACACGGTCAACGCAGTTCACATAGTTCACAGAGTCAGCCATCATCCGGTGTCCACGTGCAGACCTGCCACGCTACATATCATATTATTATTTGTGGTCACTATTTCTTCGTGACGGTCTTTGATTAACTACATAACTCGCTACGACCCATTCAATGCCCACCAACCAGCTGGCGTGTGTCCCAACTTCAGGACAGGTTTTAGTCGTATCTTGTAGCAACTCTTGGGTACAACTTAACCAAGCATCCTTCCAAATCAATGCCAGGCATTCCTGTATTTTATTTGGCATTGTAGTGCTTCCTGTAATACCGGTTGGCTCCATGCATTGATGTTTCCGGTTTGTTAATGAGGTCTCTCTTAGAGTTACCAGCGATATGACTACCAACCAGGGATGACATAGGTGTCGTTGTATAAAACAACCTTAGCGCTACGACTGTCGTATGTTAAGGTATGGGAGTTACGATCACCTTAGCGCTAAGATCGCTTTGTACAACGGCGCCATGATCCGTAAAGTTGCCCATGCAATATTCGGGGACGGCATACACGGGGTATCCGATTGTTTTGTTTCCGAAGATGGAACCACGCTTGATCTTCTATGCATCATCGTCATTCCATTGTGAAATATGACTAAATTCTATGTTCCTAAAATGAGAACTCCAGCTATACTAGTGTGCTAGTTATTCATAGAGAAGCACTGTACTGTATACAAAAATAATACTGAACAAGTTTTGGGAAGTTGTAATGCGTATGATTTTCAGTGAAGGGTACTGTGTACTTGGCACCCTCTGACAAAGGCCTGCTAGCTGAATATCTTTGAACAGTGATTCAGCTATATCAACAATGACAATATAGCGTGTGATTTGAACCCACGGTCTTCGGAACCTGGCACGACCAAGGTATGTAACTCTGCACAGTACAAAATAGTACAAAAGAAGTGGACCATCAATACCCTGTTCTGAGAGGAGTGACACGTATAATTACATGTGGTTATCTTAACATTATTGCCCAGATAGCACAACCAGCCTTGGGTATTAAACCTGATCAGCGAGGAGGGCGGTGATATAGGCCTCCAGTCTAATAGGTTCGTGACCCGTGGTTTTTCATTGATATAGGTCAGAGTATCATTCATAAAGCTTGGCACCTGTTTATTTGCGTAATGTACTTACTGACTTCAGAATTGACAAGTTTGATTAGGTCGGTCTATGTCAGTGCATGCCACCAATAGCACTCTGACTTTCCATTAAAGACTTACACATACAAAGTACGCTGGTAATGTAGGAAACACACGCTGTGATATATGTAATATAATGTGTATATAATAGGAAATATAGTAACCGTAAGTATCTTTAAGGATACAGTTAGGTACTAACAATGACATATGCAACCTTCACAGAAAGCAGATCTGTCACAGGTGTGACGAAAGCGTATTTAGTTACATTGTGATAGACATGAATGTATTGTTTGTTTATTTGTTGTTTAACACTGTACTCAGCACTTTTCCAGCTATATGACGGCGGTGTGTAAATAATCGAGTCTGGACCAGCCAGTGAGCACCATGAGCATCGATCTACGCAATTGGGATACGATGACATGCATCAACCAAGTCAGCCAGCCTGACCACCCGATCCCGTTAGTCGCCTCTTTCGACAAGCATAGTCGCCTTTTACGGCAAGCATGGGTTGCTGAAGATCTATTCTAACCCGGATTTCCACACGTCTATTTCATGATAAGATGTGACCAGTGTAGACCCGGGGTAGAATAGGTCTTCAGCAACCTATGCTTGTCGTAAGAGGCAACTGACGAGATCGGGTGGCCAGGCTGCAGACTTGGTTGGTGCATGTCATCGTATCCCAATTGCGTGGATCGATGCTCACGATGTCAATTACTGGATTGTCTGGTCCAGACTCGATTATTTGCAGACCGCCATCATATAGCTAGAATATATTGCTGAGTGCGGCAAACAGCAAACAAACAAACAAAATCATAATAAGATGTACTATGTACCCCCTAGACGGGGTTCCTAACTAGTTTAACCCCTGTGTTTAATATTAAGGACGAACATCTGCTAGTCACCATCACATCGCCCGGGGACACGGACATATGAACAGATACACTGTTCTATAAAATCGATGAATGAGAGTGCTAACCAGTGTTGCTCATGTGACAAGAAGTCGATTTCCTCTCTTGTCTGGTCTGTTGAAATGATTTCCCCGTTCGTGTTATAGTTTCCCGGAGAAAGCCGTACATTGACACATTGCTATCAACACCGTCATTGTCCTGTGTGTTTCATGTCTTCCATTAGCGGATCCTTACCCTAAGACTAATAATGGTAACATGTGATCTTTTCGGTATTCCTATTTGAAACACGAACACACAACAAATTAAGCAGTTCATTATCATCCATGTGGATTAACTAAACGTCATTTAGGACGTGTGTGCACTAGCGTTTCAGGGCGAACACATATTTTATCTGAAAAGAACCAAAGAACTGCTTTTGATCAAAACTTTTCTGATCAGTGTTAGAACATTTCAATGTCTCGTTAAATCTTTCAAGCTTTGTGGAACGCATGTGAAGGACATTTCCAAATTTGACCAAATTGACTTGCCTTTGTATGTATTTGTGATTGTGCCACCGATGCCACTCACCTTTTCGCGAACACCTGGAATCATCACTATTTGATAGTAATTTATAAATACATGCTTGTGATATAGTCGGAAACATTCAGAACTTTCCGCATGTCCAGAGAACGCGTCAGTCTAAAACCTGAGGACCAACTATATTTTCTTGCATTACCCGTGAAGATCCGGGGTGGAATAGGTCTTCAGCAACCCATGCTTGCCATAAAAGGTGACAATGCTTGTCGTAAGAGGCGACTAATCGGGTGGTCAGGCTCGCTGACTTGGTTGATGCATGTCTTCGTATCCCAAGTGGATGGATCGATGCTAATCACTGGATTGTCTGGTCCAGACTTGATCATTTTTCAGACCGGAATATTGCTGACTGCGACGTTAAACAACATACAAACAAAGCATTATCTGTAATGGTGTTGTCTCCTCCTAAGCGTGCGTGAGTGATTCCGTGTTGTTTTACACACATTGCGGGTCAATAAACGTGTCTGGCAAGGCAAACCAATGACTGAAATGACAGCAGCAACCCACGCCATTGGCGCACAATGTCCAATAACACAGAGCTTGACCATCTGATCCGGCGTAGTCGCGCTGGGATTTTATCCAAACCCGGGTCCCCACGAGGTCCTCGTTTCTGCACCAACGAGGGGACTGCCAACCTGTACGACCATGGCATACGTGTTGTTTTATAGGTTATCTACTCTCAGATCAGATGTTTGTCATTGTCTTCACTCGTGAAGAGGCCTCGAAATATTTAATAGTGCCAAATTTAAAGTATTCACCACTGCAAAAAAGAAGAAGAAAAAACTTGATTAAATAAATATATTCGTGAGACATCGTGTCCGAATATTTCATCTTGAAAACTTTAATACAATGTGATCTGTGCAAAACCATTGAAAATATGCTTCTCTAATCTATTAAAGTTACCGGGAAACGTTGAACAAACCTATATGAGCTGAAAAAATGTCAGTGCAAGTAAACATTTCAGACCATAGCACAGGCTGAATAAACTTATAATGACTCTTCTGATATCAATGCTAACATAGTTATAACTCTATTTACATCTAACCCACCTGACATACTGACACCATTTGGCTGTGCAATTTGCAAAAACAAGTGTCTGGTGTCTTTCTGCTCGGCTGTATGATGTATGGGTAAGCCTTGTTTATTCCGAGCATTATACTACGTATTAAACTCACCGTCACACCTTGAAGTCTGTCTTCCTGTACTGTGATGGATCACTAAAGCAACAAGATATTATTATTATCATCATCATTATCAGAATCACTATTATTATTATTTCTGAATAATACATCGGCTTCAGGTGGTATCTAGTACACAGTTAAAGATTTCTGACAGGCAAATAAGATTGACGTTGCCTGTTATAATTTAATGATCATATAGGATGATTCATATAGTACTGGTTCACGTCAGGTGGTATGTGTGTTGGCGTAGATGGAAGTCGTAATTACGACTAACAATAACATGTTTCTGACGTGACAAGACAGAATACCATGTATTGCTAAAAGTTTAACGTGTTGGTTTGTCACATTGTCACCTCAATTTTGTTAAGACATTTATTTCAGGTCACCCTCTTATGAGACAACATATACATTTCCTTATTCTGTTTTAATATCTTCACTGTCGCATTGTCGTGTATCGAGAGCACCCGGTGTCATCAAGACCACAATGATCTGTAGGTTTCATCAATGGAGGTCTACAATGATCCCTAGCCTTCGTCAGTGGAGGTCTAAATGGATCCCTTTGTTCATCCATGGAAGTCTACAATGATCCCTTTGTTCATCAATAGAAGTCATCAATGACCCCTTTGTTCATCCATGGAAGTCTACAATGATCCCTTTGTTCATCAATAGAAGGCATCAATGACTCCTTTGTTCATCCATGGAAGTCTACAATGATCCCTTTGTTCATCAATAGAAGTCATCAATGACCTATTTGTTCATCCATGGAAGTCTACAATGATCCCTTGGTTCATCAATAGAAGTCATCAATGACCCCTTTGTTCATCCCTGGAAGTCTACAATGATCCCTTGGTTCATCAATAGAAGTCATCAATGACCTATTTGTTCATCCATGGAAGTCTACAATGATCCCTTGGTTCATCAATAGAAGTCATCAATGACCTATTTGTTCATCCATGGAAGTCTACAATGATCCCTTGGTTCATCAATAGAAGTCATCAATGACCCCTTTGTTCATCCATGGAAGTCTACAATGATCCCTTTGTTTATCAATAGAAGTCATCAATTACCCCTTTGTTCATCCATGGAAGTCTACAATGATCCCTTTGTTCATCAATAGAAGTCATCAATGACCCCTTTGTTCATCCATGGAAGTCTACAATGATCTCTTTGTTCATCAATAGAAGTCATCAATGATCCCAAGCTTTCTTCATTGTCGAGTCTGCAATAAACTCAAGGTTCATCACTACAATCATAACTGGGTTCATCTCTGGAAGTCTGCAAAGACCCATGGGTTCATCACTGGAAGTGTACAATGATCCTTGAGTTCATCACTGGAAGTCTACAATGGTCCATGGGTTCATCACTGGAAGTCTACAATGGTCCATGGGTTCATCACTGGAAGTCTACAGTGATCCATGGGTTCATCACTTGAAGTCTACAATGATCCCTGGGTTCATCACTGGAAGTCTACAATGACCACTGGGTTCATCACTGGAAGTCTACAATGATCCCTGGGTTCATCACTGGAAGTCTACAATGGTCCCTGGGTTCATCCCTGGAAGTCTGCAATGATCCCTGGGTTCATCCCTGGAAGTCTACAATGATTCCTGGGTTCATCAATGGAAGTCTACAATGATCCCTGGGTTGATCCCTGGAAGTCTGCAATGATCCATGGGTTCATCACTGGAAGTCTGCAATGATCCCTGGGTTCATCCCTGGAAGTCTACAATGATCCCTGGGTTCATCACTGGAAGTCTGCAATGATCCCTGGGTTTATCCCTGGAAGTCTGCAATGATCCCTGGGTTCATCACTGGAAGTCTACAATGATCCCTGGGTTTATCCCTGGACGTCTACAATGATCCCTGGGTTCATCACTGGAAGTCTGCAATGATCCCTGGGTTCATCACTGGAAGTCTACAATGATCCCTGGGTTCATCCCTGGAAGTCTACAAAGATCCCTGGGTTCATCCCTGGAATTCTACAATGATCCCTGGGTTCATTACTTGAAGTCTGCAATGATCTCAAGAGTTTTTAATATTGCCGGATTAATAATATTATTGAGACATTTTTCTTGTGACAGATCTTCGAATATAAAAGCTAACAAATCATTGACGTTTCTTAGTGTATGAATTGGTTGCAGATACTACAATAGATGCACATGCTTTAGGTTTTCAACTTGTGCATGACAATAAAAGAAGTGGAAATGACTGCGCTTGATAGATCAAGCCGTTTCTGATATTCAGCAGTTATAGCACTTTTGATAAAACAATTAAGAACATTTCCAGATTCACTGACGTTTGGATCCAAACCAATACATGACGAATCCTCTTAGCCCTGGATGGCAAAATAGTCTCTTTTAAAGCATTCTATTCATGAACCCTAAGATATGAATGCGAATATTTTATACATGTTATAAATACAATTACAGGCTCCAACATACAACCAATTCAAATAAGAATTTAGAGAATGACTGGTAGGCAAATAAAATACCTCACATAACTTGGGAGTATTGTACATTTATATTTCTAAAAAGAATTCCATGAAAAATGTGAAATGTCACTGAAACACATATCCATATTCTAACGTCCGTGATGCTACTCCGCACATAGAAGAGGAGGGGCACTCGCGATGTGTGGAGTCAACGGTTGGAACAAAAAGTCAACACTGTATTATATACGGAACGTGATTCCTTGTGGTTACACTGTAAGCCGAACAATAGGGACTGCATGGAGTAATAATATCATATGGTTACAGTATGTTACAATTTAAAGGTCTTTTCAGAGAGTAAACTCTGTGTAATGTCATATATCAACACTCGAGCATAGAAATATCATATTGACGTGGGCGTCGGTGCGGAAATTCTAAACTCTTAAGTTAACACTGTTACAATTTCTTGATCACGTGACACAATTTGAATGTAATATTCAGAAGAAACAGACCTAAAATTGGAACTGATTTCAAATTGCAATATAAGGTCTTTAAAAGGATAGGTTTATGCAAATAATCAAACAGTTATATTACAATGCAATCTGACGTTCCAGGGAATAACTTCTTGAAATAATTGATATTCCCTATAGAAGCAACAGTGCAAATGTGAACATGTTTCATTGGATGAGTTGAATCCAACCACATAACAATTCTGATTCGGAATGTTTTTTTGAATCATTTTCAGGGTCTTTATATACATACAACGTCCCATCTTCAGTAAGTAAAAGTGTATTACGAGTTTGCCTGTTTCCTCCCAACGGGGGCGGTCGGGTAGCCTAGTGGTTAAAGCGTTCGCTCGTCACGCTGAAGACCCGGGTTCGATTCCCGACATGGGTACAATGTGTGAAGCCCATTTCTGGTGTCCCCCGCCATGATATTGCTGGAATATTGCTTAAAGCGTCGTAAAACCATACTCACTCCTCCCAACGACGGTGGTCTAGTTCCACATTATATGTGGTGTGTCTTTGTTGATGCTGTTCCTTAACATCAAAAGTAAGCGCCACACCTCTTTTTGATACTGGGGCTGTCGGGTAGCCTAGTGGTTAAAGCGTTCGGTCGTCACGCCGAAGACCCGGGTTCGATTCCCGACATGGGTACAATGTGTGAAGCCCATTTCTGGTGTCCCCCGCCATGATATTGCTGGAATATTGCTAAAAGCGGCGTAAATCCATACTCACTCACTCACCTTTTCATACTATTTGCTGAATACCCATGTTTCATTTGAATTGTAATAAACAGATGGCACTCTAGCATGTCATTACACATTAAATTGTCCTGAACTGAAAATGTTCTTCAGTCAATCACGTTAGATTAATTACCCTAATTTTTCAAAGTACTATTTCTGGCATGGTATAGCAATACCTCACATGAAGCAGTGATTATCAATAAAGCATATCTCGTCATGTTATGTCTTCCTTACAGATTGAAACTGAAATACGTCAAGCGAAATGATCTTGTCATTTGTATAATTATTCCTTCACAAAACAGCGACAATCATCACACGCAAGCCGGCATCCCACCCACACAGCGTCATGCCGGCAGTTGAAGGGGAAAAAAACACTAACAGAACACAGGTCCCACCCGGCATATGGAGGCATGAAGCAACAGTATGCATGGAATGTAGCTTCGATAACGCAATACTCACGGCTCTGCTCACTTTTAAATTACGACATTATATATATATACGCCAAGTAGAAGAATGTGTCTACCAACACTTTCGTCTGGGTTGGAGAGGACTCCGGATTCTTTCATTCGGTGGGGTCTGTTGTAGAGGCTACCGAGTGGGCGCCGATGTTGAAATGGAATGCCAGATAACTTCTTAAATTGACAAAGTCAAAGCGACTTTGCTATATAAAGCCCAGCTATGAAGAGAGACAGTTTAGAAGCTCTGTCAATTTCTCAATGTGAGTTCTGGCCGGTGGGTGGTCGTTCTTGGGTGCGGCCCCCATAGGGCCACACAGAGGCATTAGCATCAAACAATTTCGCCATGTGATGAGATGGCAGGATAGTGTTACTGTACCATAATGCGGATGAATTTACAAGATCATGTAAGAGGTTTATTTGCAATATTCTAGGCTTCCCTGGACGTATAATGTTAATACGTACCACCCTGGTCGAGGGCGTTTGTAACGGTTTACAGCCATAGTACAATCAACTGAAAAGATTAAGTCCGCAACAGGTGTATAAAACCGTGGGATTCACGCACAGCAGCAAACATTTGGATGCTTTCTTCATGTGGTGATACCCTGTACGAGGCGATAGTTTCTCATCATGGATAACACTAGTTTGAGATCAGAGGTAAGTTATGATCGTCTGTTATTGATAAATATACCCGGATGTATCGTCTGGATGTGTCGTCTGCTTGTCACTATGACTAGCGTTTCTTAAGTTCAAAGTTCAGAGAGTATTTCTTTTGAAATATGTCGACAAACCATAGTGTCTTATTTCACATGTAACATATTTCTTTGATTGTTTAAAGTATAAATCATACTTCTCATTATTAGACCTTGATAGCTGGCACAGTAATACTTACAGCTTGTCGTCCCAGTAAATGAAGTGAATATTCTTCCAAAGAATATGTTGTCGTCTGCTGAAGTATCGTCTGCTGATCGTGTAGTCGACCAGTTGCCTACCTCACCCAAATGTAAACATTGACATCGAAGACGAACCATCTCGATCACAAGACGTTGCCACTGTGGCGATAGGAACTACACTATGTGTACGATAATTACCCCCCAGTTGACCAATGAGAGTGAAGTATTTGCGTTCATATGTGTATGGATTTCCCAAACAGATTTCACTGCACCGAGAGTACTGCAGCGTGTAGAGGACATAATTCATGCTTGTCATACAAAAATGACCCAAGTGGGATTTGGTTTATTCATATAAATCATAACGCGACATGATCCACGTAAGATCGACATGACTTGCAGTTTCTGTATTGATGTTTCCCTCCTTTGGAAAAGAAAATTCATATTTCAATTTGCTGTACAAGTCACATATGCTAATAGGCTGATAAAAGCCTGATCTACACACTAGTACCTCGGTCATATCGTGTCGAGCATGCGAGGAAAACCTCTCGGGTCACATACCAATCATTTTTAGCGCATTTTTGGTGTGATTTTGTTACGGGTACAGGGCAACCGAGTGTTGACCTACACGTGACATCATCTGGCGCTTGCTCGAGTGATAGTGATGAGATCGTCATGGCTATTTTCGGAGCTTATTTAGCTAAGCTATCAGTTGTTTTAGTCAGTACGAGAGCTTGAAAACAGTAAACACATAGCAAGTTGATGCGAAGAATATGAAGACTGAGTTATGAATGCGGACTGGTGTCCATGGCGTTTATCAGTTCACATATGTATACACGGAAGAGTAGTGACGGTTGAAGCTATCAATGGAATGTACCCCACGGGTAGGTTAGAAAGGCAAATCGCTCAGGTATGTTAGATGTTTTGCTTTTATAATCATAAGAAATAGTACCAGTATTATTACGTAATTTGTGTTCTACACTTGACATGCCGGAATACAAATAAACACAAGCTTACAGATAAAAATAGTGTCAATATATGTTTCTGTGTTACTATCAACATATTTTCACGGAAGGGTATTCAAGCCTCCTAATGCAAATAAAGTTTGAAATACATATTATTTTAGTCGATGGCGATACTTTCCATACACTGACATGAATTACTGGACATTTGTGTTGGTTTTTAATGACAGTATGGCTTACACAGAATACAGTAAACGTTATATATTATGTGAGGTCAATGGATATTTATACACATCTAAAAATAGAAAAGTTGGTATTGAAATAGCTTTCTCCATCAAATGGTGTCTCATTGTTGATATGTATTCTTTGTGTTAATTGAGTGATTGGATTACGTATTTTATAACTGATATTGACATCAAGGAAGAATTTAACACAGTTACTTACCAAGACCATTTAACCCTCGTGTATATTGATCAGTTGTATTGTGTTTAAATGTCTAATTCTAGAATATATGAAACCGGACATGCTACAAATGTTTACTCAAACATCGGAAGTCATACAAATGTAAACAACAGTCGGAAATTTTAACCCCTGCTGAATAACTGTATCTACAATGCTCCGAGGTACGACTACACGACATGCACATTTTTGCATCCTAATGCAATTAACACATCATATGTACTCTTGGAACTAAAAGCATCTGATATATTTTGTAACTTTTTGCAAATGTCTGTTTGTTTGACACCGATTATTCATCGCTACACCGATAGGAGCTGACACACTCATTCACTTGTTCGTATTTGTTAATGTAATCCATATAAAATCTCTTTCTTTTCAAATTTATACAAGCATAGAATTGAATAACTTAAATGCCTTACATGGTAGAATACTTTTTGCGAGTTAAAATAAAATCTGCTCGTTACCCGTCATCAGTGTGAATATAGACGTATCATGTTTGGTAAGTTACCGCTAAACACCCATCAATAACACAAATCAGTGTTGCAATTACTGTCGAGATTTATCAAATATCAATTCAGCTTACCGGACGTAATATTTTCCTCCCGATTGCTCTTGTTTACAAGAATCAAATGTCTTCGCTCGCCCGGAAAGCCATTTTGCCTGTCAAGGAGGCATCGCTAACCATGCGGAAAGATGGGTGTGTCGTGGAGTTTGACACTGACACATTGCTTGTTCGACACACTATCAAGGTTATAGTGGTGATGTGTAGACGGTTTGGTAACACAGTTCTCCCCTGATAATATATGTATTCTGTAGAGTTTTAGTTTTAGAGCATTTGAGGGCGGATGGTTGTGTTCAACATGGCAGATATTATACAAGCATTGGTCATAGTGTGTGGATGTTTTATGATCTTAGTCTGGTGTGTGTGTGTCGTGTAGTCCCGTGGTATTAAACAACGTTCAAACACATATTTACAATATACATGTACGTTTTCACATTATCATGTATTTATTCATGGCATGCTCACATGTATCTTTTTTTAAATAATTAAGTATTTGAATGAATTACTGAATTTGAATAAATTGAATATGTAATTTCAATGTAGGTTCTTTGTCAACCTAATGTAGTTCTTAGGTTCTACAACATCAGCATTAAACTAAATAACTGTAAATCCTCAAAGTCCGTTTTTACAATATCTAACATACAAACCAACCATTGCTTTCATGTGTGTTTAAGGGTACTTTATTACCCGTGTGCCAAACATGTTCAATCACAGTGAGGAATACATTATAATAATATCCTTTACAAGAAATACGATCATGTATATGTAATCAGTTCATACATATTGATGAATGTATTTGGTTTATAATCTAAGGAATGAAAGTCATGCATGTCATATGTTAATACATTTGAGATTATTAATAATGTATAATGTACATATCTTGTGCAAAAACGTTGTGTACTGTTTGTAGTGCGAACCTATAAGGTTTCACGGGGAACACATTTGTAATCTTGGTATGGACAAGTTTTGAAGTACAGTTAACTCCGGTTATAACGAACACGCTTATAACGAACTGACGGATATAACGAACTTACTTTTTAGTCCCGACTATTTGCTGTAGTTATGCTGTATATATGCTTATAACGAACTACGGTTATAACGAACTAAAAATAGTAGTCCCCTTGAGTTCGTTATAACCGTAGTTTACTGTACCGACTAAATATAAGCAGCAAATTTTCTTGTAATATGATTATAGTAATACATTGTTTTACCGTACAGTGACTAGCTCTTAACAAATTGAATACTATTGTCTTATGACAAACAACAGAATGTAGAAAATCTAGAAATAACAAAAAACATAATTTTTACTTGATTTCATTTTACCAGTTTAGTGATAAAAAGGTCTCGATGAAATGCCACATGTCACTTGTAACAATGTATTGGTTTAAACGTGTAATTGAGCATTGTGCCAGCATTCATTTGACATGTACACAGGAACCGATACCCAGTAACCCAACCACTACAGTTGCATGTGACGAGTGTCAATCAGAAACCATCTCAGGGACCAGGTTCGTTAAGCTATGGTCGACCTCACACCCAAGTGGGTTTGTGAATAAACTCCAGATTCATTCATATAACACGCTTCAGAAACTACGGTCGTGTTCATTTCTTACTTTCCAGCAAGTCGTCTCGCCGATCCTGTTAGCGAGGAGGACACGACGTGCCCTAAGGCTATGATATAAAGACAGAGTGAGCCATTTTCATCATTGCTTACGCGATCGAAAAACGACTGATATATTTGATATTAGCTGACGTCGTTTATGTTGTATGGAAGTGTTTATCATGACAAGAATTGATGACATAAGTTCGAGTTGAGTGCTGCTGCGGGCTGTGCCGGTCGGATATTCGCCGGCGCGCACGTATCGTGCGCATTGCTTCTTAGAATGACGTAAATATTACGCGTTGCAAAAGAATATAAACTGCCGGGTAAAAGATGATATGCACTTGAAAATTGGATTTGACTAAAAACATACAAACGTTATCTAAACGTTAGTAGGCTCAAAAACATTCGGCGAAACACTTCAAATTTGTGGTCCAAAATGCAACTTTTTACCCATATCAAATACATGATCATTGAGGACCATTTCTTGTTTCTTTTACTGTTTAGCCATTTTAAATATGAGTATATACCGTCATTTTCCCAGCTGTTTGGACGTTTATAACGATTGCTTGACTGACGAAATGTGAGCAGTAAAATGTCTTACGTTGGGTTTAGCAGGCATGGTTAGGTGTCGTGATTATTATTTCAAATTGACGATAGTATCACAAAATGAAACTAGACATTGGTGTTGGTAATGTCCCTACCTCCGTCTTTCTATCCTCAATTATGTTTTTGTTTAGTGACGTTTTCTCTTACTTTGCATGTAGTTTTACTTAACACACACTTTATTTAGCATCTTAAATCAGTTCTTCATATCTCAACTGTCCCGTGAAGATCCGGGGTAGAATAGGTCTTCAGCAACCCATGCTTGCTGTAAAAGGCGACTATGCTTGTCATAAGAGGCGACTAACGGGATCGGGTGATCAGGCTCGCTGACTTGGTTGATGCATGTTGTCGATCCCAATTGCGTGGATCGATGCTCACGATATTAATCACTGGATTGTCTGGTCCAGATTATTTACAGACCGCCGTCATATAGCTGGAATATTACTGAGTGCGGCGTTAAACAACAAACCAACCAACCAACCAATCATATCTCAACTTAAATAATTCCCGACATGGGAACAATGTGTGAGGCCTATTTCTGGTGTCCCCCGCAGTGATATTGCTGGAATATTTCTAAAAGTGGCGTAAAACCATACTCACTCACTGACTCACTCACTCACTCAATAACTTAAATTATTCCTTGAACGCTGTTATCTGAAATGACGTTTGCTGGAAGCATAATAAATCTGAATAAATTCACTTAAGATAAACGTACCAACCATTATGCAAGGAAAGAATGATTATGGTCTAAAGGAATGAATTAAAGCCTCATTATCAGCTCAGGGCCTTTACCCCCTACATGCAGCCCAGACTGCGAATGGGACTTCTCCCAGGAAGCGCTGTCTAGTCAAACCCCCCCAGAACATTTCGAAGAATGTGAAGACTCCCCAACACTGCAGCGTTCTGCATTACACAGATTGTCAGAAGGGCTGTATTCCTGGTAGCAAACCCGAGTACTCTCCCAATGTCAGTCAACAGATTGGGAGGTACCAAACCTAAGGCACCAAGAACA